TTTACTTTTACAAGGTCAATGTGGTAATCAGGTATAATATTGCTATTTTTTCTAACTTCTTATGTTCTTTATAAAAGCAACGGGCTTTTTGCGTTATTTTTTAACTTATCTTCCTATTCACAAATAACGCGTCCTGTTTGTTTGTTTGTTTACTTGTTTGTTTGATTGCTAAATGATATTTTTTGTCTTTCGTTTACCTTCGCGTTATCTGAAAATTGTAGATTGGCCAAAAATTCTGGGAAGCCATCTCTGCAGAACACGGCCTTGACCCTACAGGTGACTACCATGGTGACAGCGACTTACAGTTAGAACGCATTAATGTATATTACAATGAGGCCATGGGCGGAAAATATGTCCCAAGGTTTGTTGCTATTATAGAAGTTTTCCATTTATTTGATCAAGAAATAAAAATTTGACCATTTGGTTATATCTTCTACTTTATGTATAGGGCTATATTAATAGATCTTGAACCTGTGACTATGGATTCGATCCGATCTAGCCCGTACGGCTCTCTTTTTCGACCAGATAATTTCGTGTTCGGTCAATCTGGTGCTGGTAATAATTGGGCTAAAGGTTACTACACAGAAGGTGCTGAATTAGTCGATTCTATCTTAGATGTTCTCCGTAAAGAGTCAGAATCCACCGACTGTCTTCAAGGCTTTCAAGTGACTCATTCTCTTGGTGGTGGTACTGGTTCCGGCCTTGGTTCCTTGTTATTGTCCAAGATCCGTGAAGAATATCCTGATCGTATGCTGTGTACTTTCTCGGTAGTACCATCGCCGAAGGTTTCTGATACCGTTGTTGAGCCATACAATGCGGTGCTTTCAGTTCATCAATTAGTAGAGAACAGTGATGAAACCTTCTGTATCGATAATGAAGCCTTATATGATATTTGCTTCCGTACCCTGAAACTGACTAATCCAAGTTATGGTGATCTTAATCATCTCGTATCATTCGTCATGAGTGGTATTACAACTTGCTTACGATTTCCTGGGCAGCTAAACAGTGATTTGAGGAAGCTCGCTGTCAATATGGGTATTTTATTAGTTTGTTATATACTTATGCTTCGATTTGTTTTTATCAATTTATTTATCACTATTATTGTTTCAATGAATAGTTCCTTTTCCACGTCTACATTTCTTTATGGTTGGTTTTGCACCACTGACCTCACGAGGGTCTCAAGGCTTCCGTGCTCTTACGGTACCGGAACTGACCGCACAAATGTTCGATTCCCGCAACATGATGGCTGCTTCAGATCCTCGTCATGGTCGATACTTGACTGTGGCAACGATTTTCCGTGGTAGACTTTCCACAAAGGAAATTGAAGCACAAATGCATACAATTCAAACTAAAATGAGCTCTTACTTTGTTGAATGGATTCCATCAAATGTTAAAACTGCTGTGTGCGATATTCCTCCAATCGGTCTTACCATGTCCGGTACTTTCATCGGCAATAGCACAGCGATCCAAGAACTTTTCAAACGTATAAACACACAATTCACCGCAATGTTTAGGCGAAAAGCTTTCTTGCATTGGTATACTGGTGAAGGTATGGATGAAATGGAATTCACCGAGGCGGAATCAAACATGAACGATTTAGTTTCCGAATATCAACAATACCAGGATGCATCCAGTATGTAGCTTTATCAAGTTTGCGTAATCTTTTTTTTCCTTTGTTGTGATAATACTAATGCTTTTGTGATTTATAGCTGAAGAGGAAGGTGGCGAATTTGAAGAAGGTGGGGAAGAATATGCTGCTGAGGAAGAGGCCGAGTAAAATATTATTAAATTTATATTTGGGTATCTGGTTTTTTTTCAAAATTTAAGAAATACGTTAAGGGAGCATAAATTTTTAGATAATTTTTTTTTAAAAACAAAAAAGATAAATTATATTTACATATAGTTCCCATCAACATAATGCATAAATTATATAATGGACAATTGGAGTTTTATTTTTTTTTTTCTTCACATAGATATATATACATTTATTACAAATATTTTGATTATTAAAAAGAATAAAATTTATCTTTTATTATATTTGATTTATTTGATTGAAAATAATATGAACACTATACTAAGATCGTGGTTATGTGTACAAAATTTCTACAAATCCTTAATTAAATACATACAAAAAAAGCTAATATTTATATGTTAATATACAATTTCCGTTCAAAATTCATCCAACAATATTTTTACATTTCGTGCAAACAATTTCTTTTTATCACCAATAGGAAATCTACATAAACATTTTGGCCAAACAATATCATCCAGCAGGCTTGCATCATTAGGTGATGTCATAAATGTGTATTCCTCTGCTAATCCTCTAAGCACTAACCAAGTTGTGTTCGCATTTATACGTGCGAATTCTCGAAACAATTCTCTTGCAGAAACTTGAAGCTCTTCATTAATTTCTTCGCTTAAAAATGGCCATAGTGTATCAATTATTTGTGATGTTATTTGATTAGATAACGATACACGGTTGATCACCACCTTCATAGTCTCTAATATCGTCTTTTTCAACCGATGTGATTTGGAAAAACTATATTCAATAAGACCCACAAATTCTTTATCAACCATAGATTGTTGAGAAAGCAATCTTTGAAATGATGGCCAAACATCCTGAACAACACGACTGGTAAAAAATTCGCCGCAAGAGATAGCAACTTCTTGTATAAGTCGTGCAGCACCGAGAACAACAAATGGTTCTTTATCTTTTAATCTGTTCAAGACGGAAGGCCAAATTCTATGGATTAGAGGGTAAAGTTCATAAGGAATGGATCGCAACGTGGGAAGTGCTACACGTATAACATCAAGGACTAGGACTCGTAATTGAGGTGATGCCGCAGTAAGAAAATTGAGTAATTTGTCTATAATTTTTATACAAATGGCCTGTGGTTGTGTAGGCTTAGGTCTTTCATCACTGATATTTTCGTTATTATGAGAAATAGAATCAGAATTATCCCCATTTTCGACCTCATCAATTAGTTCGGATTTTTCTTTTGATTTTTGACGATTCAAAAAATATTGACCAATTTCTTCTAGAGTTGCTTGCTCTTTTGGAACAGATGTTTGAGTTTTTCCTACAGAATAAGTCTTTACAAAATCTGCGATCTCTTTGGATAAGTCCGGTGCGTCCGATTCTACGTAATCTAAAGTTTTATCTATGTTAATAGGATTTGTGTCTTTTTCTTTTGTTTCAAAAGAATCAGATATAGTAGAAACTATAGCAAATAGGGCATTTGCTAGTGGATCTAATAAGTTTGGATTCATATGATAAGCATCCAAGGCATCAAAAATTTCCTCTATTGAGTCATCTAAATAAGGTAGTAAAGAAATACCGACTACTCGAACCATCGCTGTAAGTACTTGTGGAGTTTTGGAATTTATCATAATTTGGTTCAATTTCCTGGATATAGTGTTGACAAGGTAGTCAACATTTTCAAATACCAATGCTTTCTTAGAAGAGTACCCACAATATATGGAGATATGAGATAAAGCAATATCAGCGGTTTCATGTAAACGAGCATTTGTTTCGCCAACTTTTTCAAGAATCGGATAGAGTGCATCTATTAATTCCATTCTAAAATCTAAAGCTAAAATTCGGGATATGTTTGCAATTCCTTCCAACACAAGACAATTTATTAAAATAAGGTAGTTCTGAGATTCAATGATTGAGCTTGTTGATGACGACACATTTGTTCTTTCATTAGCTTTGTGTTTATCCAATTTCACTAAAGCTGTAGAATCAGGATCATTTGCTGGTATATCTGATTCGATATATTCATGTAACACGAATTTTGACACTCTTTTAGCATCTTGTGACGTATTTGTTGGATCAGTAGCGGTCAAATATTTTAAACGTGAGTTTGGTCCCATATCTATACCAGCGGCACCCAACAAAATTTCATTAATTGCAAACAAACATTGTGCGTGAAATCGTCTAGAACCCGGATCTCTGACATAAGTAAGAAAATGTTCGATCAAGAACGTAACATTTCCAAAATATCCGAATAACCGGATGATAATTGATATAGAGGATGCTACACGTTGCTCACGTATATATTTAAAATGTAAACGCGGAAATGACAATATTGTACGATCTGATTCATGTGAATCATTTGACGACACGGATAACACGTCATAATGTCCAACTAATAGCCTATTTTCCACTATTTGTGCACCTTCGGTATCAAATTCCAAAGAACCAAGCAATCCATCTGAAACTCTTTGTAATGACATATTAAGTACAGTCTGTACTTCTGGTCCCAACAGAGAAACAAAACCTGCTATTAATGATAATGCATTATATTTTGCATTTTCATCTATTCCGATAATGTACCTTGGTAATGATGTAAACCAAGAATTGAAATTTTCTTTAAGTATCGGTGTCAAATTTTCCCTAAAATCAGGATGCATTCGTAATGATTCCATATGTTGTTTGCAAGGTATTGAAACTTGCTCATAATCATCATTTAAATAAAAAACGAATGTTTCGATTAATATATGTCCACAATTATCCAGGGATTTAGTACACTCAAAAAGTAGTTTATAAGATAAATTCACGAAAGCCAACCGAATTTGCCATGAAGGATGATTACGTATAGTGAATATATGACCTATCAATATTTTGATCTGTGACTTGGTTGCCTTGTGCCATGACTTTGTTCTTTCAACATAACCATTTTGTACCTCTGATGATGATTCTGATACAGGGCTCGTTTTTGCTACTGAAAGCTGGTTTGCATTTCCCTTATTAACTAACACGTCTTTTAACTCACTCAGAGCCGTTGTCCTAGAAATAAAAGGTTCACTGACAACATCGTTCATTACAAAATAGATTGCACACGTCAAAACTTCCACTGTTTTTGTCAATAATAGATGATTTTCTTTTTGATCTTTGACCAAAGTTTTGCTCAATGTGCTTAACACACCAGGTAGGAAGGAAGCTACGATTCCTGGCTCTTTGATTCGAGTGATCAAACGTTCCAAAGTTTCAAGTGCTATTATTCTCAATTGTAATAAGCGTTCAGTTGTGATGATTTCAAGTAATACATATACACAACGCCCAATAACAATTCTCAGTTGAATACCTCTAAGTTCTGTTAAGAGTAATTCACGGCGTGTCGACATATTAAAATGATCATTTTCATTTTCATCTGTATTTTCGACATTTAAATGTAATAAAGCAAAAATACATTTGACACCGGCAAGTTTTGTTTCTTCTGAAAGAGAAGAACTAGGCCTAGAAAGAGTTCTATTTTTTTCTACTATCTGATCGTCTTCAGTTGCATTTTTTGATCCAGGATGAAATGATCTACCAACAATGCTTACAAGCAAAATCAGAAGTTGCCTGAATTGGCCAGGCATCATATAATTATTCCAACTAGAAGTC